CTCCAGGAGCCATCTCTGGCTTCTGAGGGAGCTTTCTGCTGGTTTCAGGAAGTCTTTACTGAAGAAATGTCCCTGTTCGGCCGGCCCGGGGCTGTGTGCAGGTCTCCTCCACAATCTCTTTGTTCTCTGATGTCGCCCGGAGCTGTTCGCTCACCGCCGCGGCGAATCCTGCAGGGTTCTCCACAGCTCCCGTTCACAGGGTGTGGTGGCTGCAATAGTTCCTTTCCACTCACAGTCCCGCTTGCTGCGTAGTTTGCTCTTGTTGGTCGTTTTAGTTTGTTTTTTTCCTCCTCTCTGCTGGTTGGAGAGTGCCGACTTTGTGGGCGGGGGAGGAGAGCAGGGTTCTGCGCTTTCCTCCCTTCTAGTCCTCTTTTATGGCCACTTTCTTCTTCGGGTAGTTTGCTGGAGTCGTCCGTTTATCTTCCGTGTCCCAGTTCTCACTGGGACCTGCCGCTTTTCTTCCCTATTAACTTTTTTTAATGGGAGATCTTACTCGCAGCGTCTCCTCGCTGCCATGTTGCTCCGCCCCTCCTATAACTCTTATATTTCCTTTCCTCATGGAGTCAGATAGTTCCCGAAGTCTGTCTTTGGTCTTTTTCCTTCATACTTCTCTTTCCTTTTCTGTTTTGGTTCTTTTTATTTCTGTGTCTTCAAGAGTACTTATTCATTCTTCCATTTCATCTATTCTGCTTTCATTGCTTTTCCAAGAGTTCTTTAGCACCTCCATTAATTCTTTGATCTCCTGCATTTCTTTTACTTCCCTCTTTAGGGACTCAATTTCATTCTTCTGAGCGTTGTTTTCCTCATCATGGCAATTTTAAATTCTTTTTCTGGAAGGCTCAAAAGTTCTTCCAAGTCACCGTAGTTGCAAGCTGGTGGGTGTTTTTTTTTTTGTTTGTTTGTTTGTTTGTTTGTTTTTTTGTTTTGTTTTGTGGTGTGTCTTTTTTCTGAGGCATTGCTAGTTTGCTTGTAGTTTTTCTTTTCCCTGCTGCCTGTCTTCTAATTTGCCTTATGCATTGGGACACTGTGCCGCTGGTACTGCCTGGCATCTTTTTGGTATGTTCTTTCAGGAGTTTCAGAAACTGGCAATCCAAACGAGTCAAAAACTGTTATACCAGAAGTCTAGTGAGGCAATGGTACTTTGAGTATGTTAATGGTCACTGTCACAGAATCTCTCCTCCTTCTGTGTTTAGTTACAAATGTGTGTCTTGAAGTCCCACAGACTTCCCTGGAGGTGGGGCAGCTGGATTGCACTTTGGGCTCCAAATCTCTGGATCCTCCTCTGGGCTCTGACTTCCTGCCAGGTGGGACCGGGCTTGTGGGGGCCTTCAGCTCACCTCTAACTGTGCAGGGAATCTTCTCCCTCTGGCTCCACGGGGAGCCTTCTGCCAGATTCAAGCAGTCTTTATTGAAGAAAGGTCCCTGTTCTAAAATGGCGCTTTGGAGACAGCACACTCTTCTGTGCACCCAGTCTGCCCTGGCCGTGGGTGCTGGCCTGAAGGGGCCTGGCATGGACAAACTTCCCAGCTCACCTCTGGCTCCTCCGGGAGACTTCTGCCAGTTTCAAGCAGTCTTTATTGAAGAAAGGTCCCTATTCTAAAATGGCAATTTGGAAATAGGCACACTCTCCCACACGCTGGATCTGCCCCGGCTGTGGGTGCCCGCTCCCCCTCTGGGCTCGGACTGCTGGTCAGAAGGGGCTTGGCTTGGGCAAACTTCCCAGCTCACCTCTGACTTCTCTGGGAGCCTTCTGCCGGTTTCAAGCAGTTTTACTGAAGAAAGGTCCCTATTCTAAAATCTAGTTGCTTGTTGATTTTGATTTTTACTTTATTGTAATTAGTCTTTTTCCTAGTCCCTTATTTAGGCTTTCTAATTCCCTGCTTTGAGTGAGACCATCTGGTATTTTTCTTTTTCTTTCTGGCTTATTTCACTGAGCATGATCCCTTCCAGCTCCGTCCATGTGGCTACAAATTGCATGAGCTTATCTTTTTTGATTGCTGAATAATATTCCATTGTGTATATGTACCACATCTTCTTGATCCAGTCATCTATTTTTGGGCATTTGGGTTGTTTCCATAGCTTAGCTATTGTAAATAGTGCTGCTATAAACATAGGGGTGCAGGTGCCCTTTGGAATTAATGTGTCTGTGTCTTTTGGGTAAATACCAAGGAGTGGAATTGCTGGATCATATGGAAGCTCCATCTTTAGCAGGTTGAGGAATCTCCACACGGCTCTCCATAGTGGTTGGACCAGTTTGTACTGCCACTAGCAGGAGAGTTCCTTTTTCTCCATACCCTCACCAACATTTGTTGTTGCTAGGTTTTTTAATATGTATCACTCTCAGTGGTGTAAGATGTTATCTCATTGTAGTTTTGATTTGCATTTTCCTGATTACAAGTGATGTTGAACATTTTTCATATGCCTGTTGGACAATTGTACTTCTTCTTTGGAGAAGTTTCTTTTTAGCTCTTCCACTCATTTTTTGACTGAATTATTTACTTTGTTTTTGTTGATCATCAGCAATTTATAGATTTTTTTGATCAGTCCTTTGTCATTAGTGTTGTGTGCAAAAATTTTCTCCCAGTCGACGGGGCTTCTCTTTGTTTTGGTTACTATTTCTTTTGCTGTACAGAAGCTCTTTAATTTGATGAAGTCCCAGCTGTTTATTCTTGCCTTCACTATCACTGCTTTGGGTGATGTGTCTTTAAAGATGTTACTGAGGTGTATGTCATATAGTGTTGTGCCTATATTTCCTTCTATATATTTTATGGTTTCAGGTCTTATGTCTAGTTCTTTAATCCATTTTGAGTTGTTTTTTGTGCATGGTGTGAAGCAGTAGTCAAGCTTCATTCTTTTGCATGTAGCAACCCAGTTTTCCCAGCACCATTTATTGAACAAACTTTCTTTGCTCCAGTGCATATTATTTGTTCCTTTGTCAAAGATAAGTTGACCGTAAATCTGTGGGTTTATTTCTGGATTTATATTTGGCTCCATTTGTCCGTGTGTCTGTTCTTGTTCCAATACCATGCAGTTTTGATGATTATGGTTTTGTATAGTTTGAAGTCTGGGAGTGTGATGCCACCATTCCCTTCTTTTTTTTTTTCAGGAGAGCTTTGGCTATTTGGGGTTTTTGGTGGCTCCAAATGAATTTCTTCAATATTTGTTCTATTTCCTTAAAGAATATCTTTGAAATTTTTATTGGAATAGCATTAAATCTGTAAATTGCTTTTGGTAGGATGGCCATTTTGATAATGTTAATTCTTCCAATCCATGAGCAGGGCTGTCTTTCCATTTCTTTGTGTCTTCTTCTATTTCTTTTAACAGTGTTTTATAGTTTTCTTTGTATATGTCCTTTACCTCTTTTGTTATGTTTATTCCCAAGTATTTGATTTTTTTTTGTTTCAATAATGAAAGGGATGGTTTTCTTGATTTCTTCTTCTTCAGACTTATAGTTTGTATATAGGAAGGCTACTAATTTTTGCGTGTTGATTTTGTATCCTGCCACTTTACTAAACTGATTGATTAGTTTAATTAGTTTTTCTGTGGAATTTTTGGGGTTCTCTATGTGTATTATCACATCATCTGCAAATAGTGATAGTTTAACTTCTTCCTTCCCTATTTGGATTCCTTATATGTCTTTTTCTTGTCTTATTGCTCTGACTAGGACTTCCAGTATTATACTGAAAAGCAGTGGTGAGTGGACATCCTTGTCTTGCTCCAGATCTTTTTTTTTTTAAGATTTGTTTGTTTGTTTGTTTGTTTGTTTATTTATTTATTTATTTATATAAGAACCAGGGCATAGTCAGAAGTGTGGGAGGGTGAGAGAATTCACCAGAGCCAGAGCAGGGAACAGAACAGGCAGACTGACGAAGTACACTGCTGAGGGGAGCAGCGGGCTTGGCAGGAGAGGTCTGCGCACCATATGGGACCCTTGCCGGCGGCCGGGGATCAAACTGGCATTGCAGAGGCTGTGGGCAGCTTCGCAGCTCAGCACTCAACCACTGCTCCACCAGGGGAGGCCCATTGTTCCAGATCTTAATGGAAATGCTTTTAACATTTCACCATTGAGAATGATACTGGCTATGGGCTTGTCATATATGGCCTTTGCGATGTTGAGGTATGTTCCTTGTATCCCGAGAATTTAAAGGGCCATGATTATGAATGGGTGTTGCACTTTGTCAAAAGCTTTCTTGGCATCTATTGATATTATCATATGGTTTTTATATTTCTTTTTGTTGATGTGCTGAATTACACTGATTGATTTTCGAATGCTGAACCATCCTTGTGTCCCTGGAATAAGTCCTGCTTGGTTGTGGTGAATTATCTTATGGATACATTGTTGGATTCTGTTAGCTAAAATTTTATTGAGAATTTTTGCAACAGTGTTGATTAGAGAGATTGGCCTGTAGTTTCCTTTTTGTGTGTTGTCCTTGTTCTGTTTTGGTATTAGTGCAAATTGGCTTCATAGAACGCGTTTGGTAATTGGTCTGTTTAGGTGTTCTATTCTTTATCTAGCTTTGGGTGATTGTAAAGTTGTGAGAATTTGTCCATCTCTTCTAGACTGTTGAACTTGTTTGCATATAATTGTTCATAGTAGTTTCTGATTATTCTTTTTGATTTCTGCTGTGTCTGTTGTGATTTCTTCTCTTTCATTTGTGATCCTATTTATTTGTGCTTTCTCCCGTTTTTCCTTTGTGAGCCTGGCTAGGGGTTTGTCTATTTTATTTATTTTTTCAAAGAACCAATTTTTTATTTCATTGATCTTTTGGATTGTTTTTTTAGTTTCTATTTAATTTATTTCTGCTTTGATTTTTATTATTTCCTTTCTTATACTTGTTTTAGGGTTTTTTGTTGTTCTTTTTCTAGTTCTTTGAGATGTGAGATTAGGTTGTTTCTTTGGGTTCTTTCTTGTTTCTTGATGTGAGCTTGTATTGCTATATATTTTCCCTAGAACCTAGGGTTTGTCATTATTGATGAGTTTGGAAACTTGACTTTTTCAGAGACCCTTGATGGAATTTAGAGATTTGTCCAGGTTGGCCCTGTCAGTCCACCCCTCACCCCCCAAGCCTGGACAACCAGAGGAGATAGAGCTGCTTAGTAAAGAGGAGACCTCTACTTCCCATGGCAGCCCAGACTGGTGCCAGTGTGGAAATTGTCTCCCATCCAAGCTTCCTGAGAGCCACAGGTACCTGGAGGAGCTGTGCTGTAGGAAAGGGAAGGGGCAATGCATCACTACCTCAGAGGCATTCAGGAAGCTCATCCTGTCCAGAAGCACCCTGCAGTTCTTCCTGCTCTATGAGAAGCCTTTGCCGGAGCCGGATGCTGATTCTTCCAACAGGGAGCTGCGGCACTGCGCCTACAGGTGCTATACCGCCTGGCGCTTCGGCTCCCAGGACCTGGCTGACTTTGCCATCCTGCCCAGCTGCTGCCGCTGGAGGATCCGGAAGGAATTTCCTAAGAGTGATGGCAAGTACAGCGGCTTCAAGAGTCCCTACGGATGCGGGGCTCAGCAGTCATAGCATCGTTGCCTTTGCTTACACCTTGAGCTTCACCTGCAAAGGGCTATGGCCAAATTTTCAGTCGAAGGGAAAAGTGCTTTCCTCTCCTATAGCTCTATATGTGTCAGAGAGCTGTGGGACCTGGGCAAAACACCAAATTACAATCCTCCGCATGGACAAAGAGTCAAGAGGTATGGATTTATGTCACAATTCTTTGAGAACTATTTCAGTTGAGCCAGATTTATGTCAGTTCTGGAAGGACCAATTGCAACCTGTATATGAACTTTCTTGGTAATGCATAAACAGCTGTATGAATGCAAAGCAGCTCATGACGTCAGACTAGAATGATGTCCAACTATGAACAAACCCGTTGGATACTAGTTGGAGAATGTAGAGGGTTAAAAGCGGCCACAAGCTCTCTGGTACTTGTCCTTCACTCAGGACTTGAGGGTTTCGTCTCCTCTTGCATCTGGGCAGCTCTGATCACTTTATGCAGAGAGGAAGTGTTGTTGGGTCAGCTTCAGGGCCTTGATCTTAAGAATTTGGCAGCTTTCACTTCCTGCTCTTGGCACCCATGCTGTGAAGAAAGCCAGTGCCCGGGTAAGACCCTACCTATCTTGAGACCTCCCTGCTTTGAGGGAGCTCAAGCAGCCATGTGGAGAACAGATGCCCGACCTGACCCCAGCTTTTAAGCCATCCAAGCCTACACCAGACATGGGAGAGAAGAAGTCTTCAAGTGATTCTATAACACTGCAACTTCCAAGACATCCCAAGTGATTGCTGTTCACTAAACACAGAGAATGAATCACTATTTTAAGCCACTAAGTTTTGGGTTGTTACCCAGTAACAGAAGCTTCCATGCTACAGTTCTAAGGGAGGCTGCACCATCCCTGGAGCCCCTCAGGTGCTTAGGTTTTTACTCAGCATTGCCAGGAGGGCTGCGGAGCCAAATCTGGTAACTCATCAGCCCAGCCCTAAGTCCATCAAAGCTAACCGTTGAGCTGCTTGATACATTCCAATCTGCGTCACAGTTCTATGACACAGTTCTATGGGAAATAATGACTGCTAACAACCAGAAAAAGTCATTTTTATGCCTTTAACATCCTATATTTTGCAGCCAACCAGCCTGAATGTTATTTGAAGCAACCCAAGCAGGCCGTTATCATTTCTATACATCACCTGCAAAGAATATGGAAATGGACAGTGGCAGGCTTTAGGATCCTCTCGCGGGATTTCCTTTTCCTGATTTTGGCGCTAGAATAGACTATTTCCAACAACAACTACAACTCTTTTAAAGAATGGAGACCACTCTCCAACACTGTGATGATGAAGTAGGATCTGTGACATTTTTGATACATACTCTAATTTTTACCATCTTGACACTGAATAAAACCATCCACCTCCTACCGTATTAATGTAAAATGACAACAAAATCCTTCTTTTCTTGTCCTAGAATTTTATCTGGCTTCAAACTCAGGAATCAAGTTAACTAGGCCAGACTGGACTTTCATTTTTACTACCTTTCAGAGATATTTTTGAAAAGTGAATTACATGTGACTTCCTTAGAACGCACATTTTTTACTCCAAGAATTCTATGTAATTAGTACAGATTTCCATTTCTGATGTCTTCTCAGTCTTTCTACCTTTTTTTTTTTTTTTTAATTTGGTTCCTTATTCCCAGCTTGTTTCTATCACCTTAGGGAGGTCCCAGATGGAATCAAGAATTGAGAATGACAAATAACACTGAATCCACCTACTGTTCTCCTTCACTTTCCCCAGAGGCCTGGAGGTGAGAGGGTGATGTGTTACATAAACTGTGTGTAAAATGTCTGACACCTCCTATGACAGTGCACTTCCTATTTGTATTCTTATTTTTAGCCTACTGCTTAAAATAATGTCATTGCCAAAGGCATCACAAGGAGACCCGCATTTTGTAGGATCGGTTTTCTTCTGTTCTGATAATTGCTGGGCATTTGCTGCTTCTTTGTGCCAGCGATCTGCTTTCTTGTAACAGGTCATGGGCCTGCACTTCTCTTTAGAGGGGACCATTTTATAAACCCTTCCTAACTCTGGCTTGGTAACTAGACTGTTTTGCTCATTAAAAACTAATAATGTCATAATTCATATTTATTGAAGTGTTCCTTTTCTCAGAAGATCCTCAAATCACAGCTCACACACTGACATTTTCATTCACCCTATGAATGAACTGAGGTGCTATGACAGAATAAGATACATGCTTGGTCTATGCCCCTAGTTCCTGACACAGCTCCTAAACCCCTTAGAAATTCTTGGGTGAGGGCCTCCCTGTGGCGCATTCCTGGCCGGTCAGGGAGAAACCCACATGGCAAGGAAGATCTCTCCTGCCGCCCGCTGCTCCCCTCAGCAGTGTCTTTGGTCTGTCTGCCTGTTCTGCTCCCCACTCTGTCTCTAGTGAATTCTCTCACCCTCCCGTGCCTCTGACTGTACCCCAGTTCTTATATAAATAAATAAATCTTTAAAAAAAAAAAGAAATTCCTGGGTGAGTGGAATGTCTTGTGGTCTAATGAGGGGACTTTTGGTGGCTGCTGGATGGCTTCAAGATGAGGCTGGTCACCACAAAGACCAAACCACAATTAGAAGCTTGGAATTTTCTGGCACACCCTGGTTATCCAGAGTAGGATGGGGTGGGAAACAGTTAATAACTGATCATGGCTACATGATGAATAAAAATCCATAAAACATCAATAAACTATAAATAAATACATGAATGAATAAATTAAATGAATACCCCCTAAACTGTGGGGTAGGAACACATTCATGTGCCAGGAGGGAGGTACACCCAAATTCCATATAAGAAGTTTCTGTGCTTACAACCCTTCCAGACCTTGCCCTTGGTACCTCTTCATCTGATTTTTCACCTATATCTTTTATTCTATCCTTTATTATAAACTGTTGAATGTAACTGTTTCCTTGGGTTCTATCAGCCACTGTAGCAAATTGGTGAACTAGAGGCAGGTGTTATGGGAACTCTCAAAAGATATAGTAAGTTGGTCAGAGGCACAGGTGACAACCTGGGACTTGTGACTAGCATCTGGTGTGGTAGACAGTCTTGTGGAACTGAGTCCTTAACCTGTGGAGTCTGTGCTAACTCCAGGTAGTTCATGTCATAGACCGAATTGAAGGCTACCCAGCCGATTGTCAAAAGTGTAATGAGTTGAGTATATGAGGTCCCTTTAGGTATTTCCTGGAGGCTGATGAGAGTCAAAGCTGCTGTTCTCATGGAGATATGAGGACACGGACATTGATCAAATAACTCAGTCCTCATCAGACTGCTTCTGTGCAGTCACCGTCTGCTCCGAGCCCTGCCCCCAGAGGCCCAGGGCCCACCTCCCCATTTATTCCAATGGGCCTCTTGTGCTCAGTGGCCCGTGAAAATGTGGGTTCACGTTCTGCTGCCTGCGGGTTGCTCAGCCCCTACCGTGTACAGTCAGCTTTTCAGGAACTCCATGGGCCCCCAACTCAACTCCTGCTCTCTTTTGAATAGATTTTGATACCACTATCTTCTTTCCACTTCACTGTGATCTTTCAGTTTCCTCTTTTCCAGTTCCCGGCAGTTATGAATCATGTGTCCAAAATAAGTGGTGATCTATGGAGAAGATTTTGCAATTCCAGCATCTGTAGTTCCTCTTAGTGAATGAAATATCATGATCACATGAGTCTGAGTCCTCCGAAATCAGAGGAGGAGGTGGCCAACATTGACTGACCATCTTAACCAAAGAATCGCCATCCCTATTAGACAGGGTTGGATAATGGTCTTGTGCAAGGAGGTCTCAGGAGGAGGATAGTAAGTGATGAATGTCTGTCTTATGTCTGTCTGTCACCATGTAAACAAGTAAGCCACTCAAAGGCAAAGAGCTCCTCTTGGCTTTGTGGCCCTTACATGCCTAGTCCAGCATAGCAGAAGAGCTGGTACACTGGAAACACACCACCAGGGACAATCCTGGCTTGCCCACAAACTAGCTGAGTGGATGTCTTATCCAGGTTACCCAGGCCTTAGAAACCTCAGCTGTATCTTTGAGTTCAAAGGTTGCTTTGAGTCTTAAATGTCACACATGCGTAAACATAGGTAAAGCATTTGGCACATGACCTGAAGAAGCACTCAACAAGTATTAGCCACTATTATTAGCCATTACTATTATGTCTAATGATGCTATTACTATTTTTGGATGGTGCCTGAGCATCACTCCTGAACTCCAGGCTTATGTATTTAACCACCTCTGGACATTCTATTTCAATAGTTTGGCAGCAACTCAAAAAGTCACAGAAGAGAAATCACAGTCTCTGCTCCCTTCATCCCACCCACAGGTGCTCTTCCAGCATTCCGGAGCTAGGAGGTAGCACCACCTGCCATCAGCCCAATTTTCCAAGCCAGAAATGCCAGAGACAGACTTGACATTTCCTGTCTCCTCCCCGCCCCATCCTATCTCATCCACTCGGTCAGCAAACATTTACTGAGCGCTAGGCACTTGCAGCTTGGCACTTTGCAGACAAACAAATGGTCAGGATGGGCTTTCCCAGAGGCGTAGGGTGGTAGGTAAAGAAATGAGGTAAGGACAGTTTGGGGAGGGGGAAGGATCTGAAAGCAACCAGCAGCATCCTGTGCCAGAGACAATGAGCACTTCTGATAGAGGTCAGGGATACTCTAGCCAAGGCAGTGACATTTAAGCTATGTCACTGATCTGAATGTCAAGAAGGAACTGGTGGTGACAGATGGTGGAAGGGTATTCCAGGCGGAGGGACAGCGAGTGCAAAGCACCAAAGTGGGAAAGAAATGAGTGTGTTCCAAGAACTGTCAGATGGCTGGTGTGACTAGGACACTCCAACATGGTTCCTACCATTTAAATCTGTCCAGGGAGGACACAGGCTTGCTTACTTTCTCACTGCTTCATAAACTGGGCAGTCCCATCTCGGTGGCACAGAAGCTTAAAGAAAGGCAAAATATGATCCACATAGGCAACAATAATCATGGGGGGATGGGGGGCTTTATGAAGCCCTTGAGACGTGGGCGGGCCCTCACCAGATGAAGACACAGGGAACAATCAGTGGGATGAGAAGAGGCCACGAGCCAGGTCCAGAGAGAAATGAGTATGGTACGGGCAGAGATTACAAGCAGACTTGGCTGGCACCCTAGATTGGGAAGAAAGTAGATAAAAACTAAAAAGAGACTGATCTGGGGGAATGAAGGGGGCAGAGAGGGAAGACTGAGGTAATAACAAAGTCAAGAGGGAGCCATTTCTGAAACTACCTAGATTAGTCAAATTCATAGAGAAAGTAAAGGCCACCAGAGGCTGGGGGAAGGAGATGGAGTCGTGTTTAAAGGGCACAGAGTTTCTATTGGGGGTGAAAAAATTCTGGAAATAAATAATGCTACTGGTTATGTCCTTTAAAAATGGTTAAGTGGTAGTATATATATTTACCACAATTTTTAAATTACCAAAAAAGTAGTAATGCTTACACAACTGTAGGGTTATTTATATTCTGCAGAAATCTCTTTATGTTATGAAATACATATACTGGGTTTGTTTTTGCAAAGTCTGGACATTCTTTTGGTCTGAGGCTCAGTTGAGGGCTTGTGTAAGCTTGCTGTCCACATTTCCTTGCATCCTTCAAATGCATATGAATGTGTCTTGTCAAGAAAACATTCTTCTGGAGATCCCTAGCATTGGCCAGCAAGTCAGGAGAACAAGATCTGTGAGGATGTGCAAGGAAGAAGGTATAAGGCAGTGTTTGAAGGATATAAATTTGACTTTCTTAGGGTCGAAAGGCTGACTTTGTCGACCACCATCAGGAAAGAAGTGTCTACACTCCCACGGGAATGAATTTACCTTCAGCTTGAGAGCACTTGGGGAAAAAGTCCACAAAAGTGCTGATGACCCCAGTGCTGAGCAGGTCCAGAAGCAGGCAGGCCTGAGAGGTCTGAGGACTGAATGATGCAGCGGCTGGAATCAGCATTTGTTAGCTCCGGGTTCATCCGTTTTTGCTCTGTTGTCACTGGGAGAGCAAGGTGGTTCAGTTTCCGCAGTGGTTGAGGTGGGAAAACCTGAATGCAGCCAGGGGGTGCCAGTGATAATTATTGTGGGTGTCTGTGGTTTCTTTGCAATGTGGAGGGTTTGAAGGTATCACAGTGGCCTCATCCAAAAAGCGCTGGAACAGATGGCCCAATTGAAGGAGGCACCCAGGAGAATACTAGGCAGGTTGAAGCTGCTGCCTCACAGACAAGATGCAAATTTTAAATAAAGCAGAAAGGGGGTAAAATTTGAGTGAGTAGAACATTTTTGGAGAGGAAGAAGTCCCTGTGGGGAACTTACTTTAAGTAAACTCCATCTATAAAAATCTAGATTTCCAAAAGGAGTAAACAGACTAATAGTATAAATAAGATGTCAATAGGGTGAGAATGATTTATGCTTTCCAAAGGGGTTCATGACAAGATAAGCTTCCTTTCAATAATATCTGGATGAAATGACATAAAATGAGTCCTTTCTAGAAGCTTATCTAGCAAAGAAAGAGCGGATATGGCCAGAGCAGGGTTTCCCGTGACTAGCTGTGAGACCCCTTAGAGCTCACCTAGTTTTCTTATTTGCAAAAAGAAAGGATTGGGCTACATACGATTTCTAAGGTACTTTTAATCTTATAATGCTATGTCCATAATGTAAAATATAAAATAAGGTTAATTTGTACTTGACATTAAGCTCATATAAAGTGCTGAGCATACCATCTGCTAAGTGGGCAATGAATGTATTATGTTAGTGAAAATCAAAAGTCCATACACCATATCGTCTAAGTCCCTACCTGACTTATCTAGAAGAGGTAGATAATACTACCTCAGAGCCTTAGCTCACCCACTCTCTTCCTCACCCACAAAACTGCACTCACACTGGCCTTCTTTCTTTTTTTTTTTTAAGTTGATCCAATTAAGATTTATAGAGGCATGTTTATTTATTTATTTATTTGTTTGTTTGTTTATACATGCACTGGGTACAGTCAGAAGTGCGGGAAGGTGAGAGAATTCACCAGAGCCAGAGCGGGGAGCAGAGCAGGCAGAAGGACCGAAGTACACTGCTGAGGGGAGCAGCGGGCGGCAGGAGAGGTCTGCGCGCCATGTGGGACCCTCCTCCGGTGGCCAGGGAGCAGCAGGGGATCGAACCGGCTCCGCAGAGGCCACGGGCAGCTTCGCAACCCAGCGCTCAACCGCTGCGCCACCAGGGAGGCCCAACACTGGCCTTCTTTCTATTCCTGGAACACACCAAGCTCATTCCTAACTCAGGGCCTTTGCACTGCTATTCTTGCTGCCCAGATACTTTCTCCCCAGATCTTTAGAGAGCTGGATCCTCAACATTCAGAGTTCAGCTCAAGTGAACTCTTCAGAGAGGGTGTCCCTCCAGCTAATAGATAGATATAGGCATACCACAGAGACATCTGGTTCCAGACCACCACAATAAATCAAATATTG